GAATCAAAAAAGGTAACGCTATTTTAAGTCAAAGATAAAGTGGAAAATGGTAGCAAATAAAGGATTCTGTGCATTATATAAAAAGCAGAGCTTAAAATAAAAGCAACTAGTCTGACTTTGAGCTATTCACTCTCTTGAAGCAATGGTCTACACAAACACCATACAGGGACAGTGAGAAAAGAATGAACTTGGAAATTAAAACATGTGAAAATCAGTGAAATTATAGAATCTCAGTACTGTCGTCTGCAACAGAATCCATTTGGTATGTTGCACAGAGATACAATCCATTCACCCCTTCCAGGAGTTAGGCAATATATAATATTAAAGACATTAATACCAAAACATTAAAAAAAAATGAAAGGCCTCACAATCTGGAAGGACTCCAGCACATATAACCAGAATTTTGCCCTGTACTGTATGTCACGATAAAATATCACTTTCATTTAAAACATTCAAAGTATAAGAAAAACAGTGAAAGTTAGAGAAAGCCAAACTGCTCTGACACTTGGTAATAAATTGCCAGTATACACTGCTGGATACTGACCTCGGATTTCTGTCAAATGGCAAAACTGATGATCAGAAGAGAAGGCAAATTCATTCTTTCAAAGACCTCATTTAGGATTACACTGACCTTGTGTAACATTTAGGGCTGACACTTTTATTGATTAGTCCTAGCAGGTAAAGTCATGTGTACAGGGTACTGTCTCTTACGAAAGTTCCTTCAACAAAATAAAAATGATATCACTGAATGTACAGTAACCTTAGTTCACATCTACCTTACCTTTATTTCTGTTCTTAAAATAAGTTGGTGGTGGCAAAGTGGTTAGCATTGCTCCATTACAATGAAGTGGCCCTGGATTCAATTCCTGGGGTCCTGTCTGTGTGAGGTCTGAATGGCCTCCCTGTGTTTGCATGGGCGTACTCTGGGTACTCTGGTTTCCTCCCACAATCCAAAGACTAACTGAGAGGTTAATTGGCTTTTGGGAAAATTGGCCCTTGTGTGAATCCATATTTGCTCACTGTCTGAAAGCACCTTAAAAATAGACTTGAAGCACAAAAACTAGAACAGGAGGCAGAGCACCTCACTTTGTCATGCTGTGCATTCTGTCAGTGTAGATCGTCAGGAACTGAAATTGATGGACTGCATTCCAGTGCTGAATATGCTAAAATACTTAACAACACAATTCCTCAGAAATGAGAAGATTGTTTCAAAATGTAGTACAGTACTCTCCTAAAATTTGGCATGGTAATGCCAAATCATGTATGAAACCTGCTTATACGGTATCTTACTTTTTTTACCTAAAATGTGAATACACTGTACGTATACCTAAAAGATTAAAATAAAAAAATTATTTTATCCTACAACTTAGATGTTTCTGTCAATCTTGTTACCCATGGACTACATAAGTAGCTACTGTATATACAGTATACCTCTGCTCTGCACCTGTTGAGTTTTAATCATGGTTGCTCACGGGCTCAGAGTCTAGACAGAGATGATCTAGCCTTCACCTCTGCCACTGCTCAGTTCCACACATCTACAGTAGGTTTCAAGAGGGATGATGTCAGTTCTGTAACATGCTCAGTGCACTGAGCTAACTGGGCTACTGTTTCATATACAGTATTGGTTAGGGGGAGATGACTGCACTGAGCTCTGTTATACATTCAGTAGGGGTTAGTGGCAGATCACCATAATGCTAACCCTACTGATCAGATGGTACAGTAGGTCTTACAGTGTGGAACTGTTTCAAATACAGTGCAGGCCTAAACGCATCTGGTATTTGAAATTACTAATTGAAAATGTTTTAAGTTACCATGTTAGTGTAAAACTGGTGGTTTTGACAATTTGCAAGTGCACAATGTTGATGCAATGTGTAAGTAAGAGTCAAGTACTCAGTACCTCCATTGTCCCTTTTCCATCCACTCTGTCCTCAATTTCACATTGAGGTCTAACACCTTGAAATTCACAAACTAAGCACAGCTAGAGGCTGAAAACCCCAACTGTAAAATCTCTTGGACCTGGTAATATTTTGATTGCTTAGTGTAGTTTAGGCATTACTGGAACATAACTTCGGCAGGATACACAGGAAAGCATTCTAAGCATGTCTTAATATAAAAGACAAAAATATATTACTTTAATCTCTCCCATAATAAAAAGTAGCTATTTAATGGCTGCTTCTGCACATTAAAAAACAACTGCCTATGGACTGTACTTTGTTTTGCCTGTCTAACACATTGGTGGAACAAGTGCCAAGCAATTAATTTAAGTCCATTATTAACATTACATTCATCAATTAAGATGAAATAGAGCTACAGAAACTAAAGTGCGCTGAACAAGGCAGAATTTAACTATATAATTTGAAGATGGGAGGGCTGTAAATTTTACTCCACTTAATAATTAATTATAAGGAGCTAGTTTTTTTTTATTATGGATACGATAAACATCTTTGTTTTTTATTTCATGCAATGTCAGCACAGCTGCCCCACACTTTCGAAAAACTGCAGTACGGAGAGACTGATGTAAAGTGTAATTTGCTTTTCATGATGTTCAGCAAACAAAAACTACATTGGTAGAACATGCAGTTTTCAGATCCATATCCAGCACAGGTCTACCTTTTCACACAAAAAATTAATTTAAAAGACCTGGAAGAAATTACATTATCATCTTATAGTCTGATCTCTTCAGATCTCAGAAGCTAAGAAGGGTTAGAATTGATCACTATTAGAATAGGAGGTCACCAAGATAAACACGGTCAGTGCTGTAAATGATGCAAGTGGACCAGCAGGTGATTTCTCTTCTCTCTAGACCTGGACACTGTGCTGTAGGATGTCCTACTCTTAGATTGTGTCCCACTCTGTAGGATTAGATGTTAAAATGAATTTCTTTCTTCTTGGTCCAATATGGCATGATACTGAAGAAGAGCTGAGGTTCTATCTCCTGTATTTGGACAATATTACACAACCTGGTCTAACTTAAGATAATCATTCCTATAATTCAGTCGATGATGTCACTCCTCCACCTGAGCTGCTGTCCGGTGGGGCTGCTGATATATTTTGGCTGCTGTGCCCCCTGACTGGGGGCTTCACTTCATGGGGGATGAATCAGATCTCCTTTCTAAATGTAAAGCTCTTTGGGATTCTTTGGGATGTAAAGTGTTATAATGTACAATAAGCAAGTATTTTTTTAAATAATCAATATGATTAATGGCTATCCCACTGTCCTCTACACTCAACATTACATTGTCAATCACATTCTATAAATGTGATTTTATAGGGGTGCTGTGTGATTGTATAGGGGCAGTACGGTGCCTCTGTGGCTAAGGATCTGCACCTGTGGCTGGAAGGTTGCCGGATTCGTAGCCTGCGGCCAGCAGAGGAATCCTACTCCATTGGGCCCCTGAGCAAGGCCCTTGACCCCAGCTGCACCAGAGGCGCTGTATAAATGGCTGACCCTGCACTCTAACCCCAGGCTTCTCTTCCTGTCTGTGTGTCTCAAGGGGTATGCGAAAAGACAAATTCCTTATACAAGAAATTGTATATGGCCAATAAAGTGATCTTATCTTATATGTCCTTTAAAACACACAATTCTGTAGCAGAGCAACTGCTGGGAGCACAGGTGAATCACCAAGGGGCGGGGTCATCTTATTTAGGGGAGCCGTATTCGTCAAGTTCTAACGAGAAAGTCACTGAATTGGCTGCACCTGGAATCTCTAACTCACTATAAAAGCAGTTCCTGAGGCAGTCAGGGGTTGTCTTTTACACAGATCCTTATGGTTAGGAAGAGCAGTGAGCATATGGAAAATATGGAAATTAGAGATCTTCTTGTACAACTAATCACGGAAAGATTATAGCTATGTAATATTGGTAGCAGCCTCTGTGATTTTCTGGGTCAGTACGCCTGTTAACAAGAAGACTGTTGAATGAAGCTCTCGCCACTGCTGTCAGCGGAAGTATACAATTACAGAAAATCCCTTACTGTGCTATCAGAAAGGGGAATCTTTCATGTCTGATGGCAGCGGTGTGACACTCACGTTTTTCTTTGGTCTTGAGGATAATTTTTGCTGGATTAGGAAAATGGAGGCCACTATTATAGCAATGATACGGGCAGTTGTGGTGCAGCAAGAAACTAAGAGGACCCAACAGGAAATGAATGACCCCTTTGTCACCCATGCTCCCAGCACATGCTCTGTTACAAGTACATAACTAACCAAACAAAGTTTCTGTGGTAATATTATTTAAAAAGTTTAGGTAATTCATACAGATACAAACGATGCATTTTATTATATGTAAATGTAATGTAATTCTGCAAGAACTCCTATAACAAAAAATGAAAAAAACATACATACTGTAACGGCAGCCACACATCAGCTATTAGTGGGGAGGAGAGCAGAGTAATGAAGCCAATTCATAGATGGGGATTATAAGGAGGCCATGATTGGTAAGTGTAATGGGAAATTTGGCCAGGACTCCAGGGTAACACCCCTACTCTTTTTGAGAAGCACCCTGGGATTTTTAATGACCACAAAGAGTCAGGACCTCGGTTCCACATCTCATTCGAAGGACAGCACCTGTTTACAGTATAGTGTCCCCATCACTATACTGGGGCATTAGGACCCACATGGACTGCAGGGTGAGCAACCCCTGCTGGCCCCACTAACACCTCTTTCAGCAGCAACCTTAGTTTTTCCCTGGAGGTCTCCCATCCAGGTACTGACCAGGCTCACACCTGCTTAGCTTCAGTGGGTTGCCAGTTATGAATTGCAGGGTAAAATGGCTACTGGCTGTTAACATTAGTTAAACATTAGTTTGTCACACTATACCAACTGTGCTGGCTAGCATGGTCCTAACAGAACAACATGTACAGATGCTCATACAATCCCTTTGTGTTTTGAGATACTGAAGATATTGTACCAGTCTAAAGGGGGTAATGTTTACTTTGCTCCTGATATTTCACTGACAAAAACTCAAAAACCGCCAACATGAATCTGTTAGAGTTTACTCACCACTCTCAATTTCCCAGACGTATACCGATCCATCCACACAGCTAACAATAAGAAAGTCTTCAACAGGGCGCCACAGAATTGCATTCACGGAAAAGAGATGTTTCCTGACATGCAGGATACAGGCGGGACCGTCAAGGTTCAAGATGGCGATCGAGTTATCAGTTGCAAAGCAACAGACACGCAAATGGACTTTAGGCTGAAACACAAGAAATAATTAACCAGAAAATATTCCTTCAACAATATACCTTGCTTTGCTTAATAAGAATTTGCTGGGTTTAGTTTAACAGATTTAATATTGTGTAATGTGAACATAATTATTTTGAGTGAACTAAAGTGCAGAGAAAAAGTTTACAAGCCACCTAGGGTGGTATACATTCTCTCAAATATTACACATAGTAAGATATTCATGACAGTCTTAATAAATAATAAAGACAATCTGATTAAAAATATAACACAAAGACATAAGTTATAAACTGTTTTATTAACAAAAACAGTAAATCCAACAGTAAATTTCCTCGTGTGAATCTCTCCCTCAGATTCAGTACATGGTGGCAACTTCTTGAGCGGTAGTACAGTATCATTATCTACTATAATTTCCGGTAACTCTTTATCAGTCTTGCTCAGCAGCTTTTAGGAATTTCGGACCATTCTTCTATGCAGAACTTCAACTAGGTAACATTTTAAATTCTCCTTGCATGAGCTGGTGGCTTGTGGTCCTTGCATAAATTGTACAATGGAGATTAGGTCTGAATTTGCACTTAGACAATCTAAAATGTTAAATTTGTTGTTCAGTCATTTCATTGTAGGTCTTCTTGTATGTGTAGGATCACTGTCTTGCTGTGGGCTAAGCTTCAGCTGACAACAATTTAACCTCCCATTTTCCTTCTTGAGAATTTGCTGATACGACACCAAAGTCACGACCTTGTCAATGATGGCAAGCTGTCCTGACCGTGAGGCAGCAAAGCAAAGCCAAATGAAGATATTCCCACCAATGTGCTTGAGAGTCAGGATGGGGTTCTTCTGTTGCAAGGCAGTGTTTGGTTTTTGCACAAAGTTTCTTCTTGTGGCCCAAACCTGACAACGTTTAACTTGTATGTAGGTAGACTATTTTTAAATACATTTCTGGATTTTCCAGGTGTTCTTAGGCAAACGTGAGATGGGTTTCAAAGAGCACTGATTTGTTGATGGCATTCCTCACATGAAAACCATCCCTATTCAGTTTTAACCCTGATGGTTGAGGCATGGATACTGACATTACCCAAAGGAAGAAAAATGTTACTTTATAGCTCAATTAATTATTTCCAGGTTGCTCCAGGGGAAATCCTACAGAGACATCCAAGTGCCTCTGTAGTCTTAAATATTTTCTCTTTCTACACTGATCGGAGATGTTTGGAGCCCTGGATGCTTATAAATGGCCTTGCAATGCAGTCCAGAATAAAAAGCATTAACTAACTTTTTTCTATGGACCTATGAAATCTCTTTTGATAGCAGCATGACAATTGATAGTCAGATTCCACTAAATTGTACAGAAAACCCTGAGCTGCAAAAAAGGTTTCTGACTATGTACAATATAAACAGCCAAAACATTAGGAAAAAAATGAAAATAGGTGGAAATTATCACTCTCCTAAAGTTCACTTGGGACCCAAATGTTCCTCAAATGAAAAAAAAAAATGTCTAAAACAATTGCTACGTCCCAGTGTGTGGTCCATGTGTGTTTTCTATGTTCCACACTTCCAGACCTTGATTGTTCTCCCTTCCCCATTGGTCCATCATTACATCATTGTTTCCCTGTGACGTCCTCAATCAGCTTCTCAGCCAATCAGATTGCAGCTTATTTAGTATATAAGCTGGAGGTTTTCTGAATGAAGGGACCTTTCATTTGACTTTGGTCCTGCTCTGCTCGACTTTGGTTTAGTTTCACTTTTGGTTTTGCTTCGGCTTCGTGTGTGTGTGTTTTCGTATAGCTTTGGCTCTGTTGGTTTGTGTTTTCCTCGTACTTTTGTTTGTTTGTGTTTATTATTTATTTTGCCATTACTTTGCCCTAACGTGTTATGTGTTCAACCTCTGTGTTCTTTTGTACCCTGTTACTTGTGTCTACTCTCGTTTTGTATTCGTAGTTCACTTCTGTATTTGTGTGAACTTTTGTGTATAGGATTAGTTTAGGTTGTTGGGTACATTTTACACACGTAGTTGATTTTTGTATTAGTAACACTACTTAGTAAGGGTGAGTGCAATTTGTCCTGTATAGTTTTGGGTAGTCAGTGAAGGTTAGCTAGGGCGTTTGAAGATGCCGAAGACCATGTGTTTCGGGTTTTCTTTTGTAGTCAGGTCAGCTTTCCCTCACTTTCTTAGTCAGCTCCTTTTTGTTATTTTCTTTCCTTTGGCTCCGCTCTAGTTCCCTTACCCAGTGTGTTATTGTGTCCAATTACAAACCAGTCACTTATTGACCTTAAAATTGTCACTTTTGCACCAACCCTTGTTGTCGCGCTTCCTTAGTCCCACACCAGAACCCACCTGCATCCAAAAAGTATCCTAAATGTTACACCCCTTTACCCCTAGACACTTGGGGCCGAAACACAATCAAAACCATTGAAAAAAGCTCTTGGAAATTAATCGGCTTCAATAATATATCCTATTTAGGCAATTTTCCAATCAGCTAACAAATGCTGAAAAAATAGAATAGAAAGAGTGTGCATTTCAGGCCACTGTTGGGTACGTGTTACAGGAACCATTAAATGATGACTCCGGATGTACAGTACATCTAGTTGCACATTAAGTGAGAAAATTAAAAGCATTAAAAGCAAGTAGAACATATTTTGATCTGAGTCATTTTTGGAGTACAATTATGGAACGCTGCAAAGTACAAAGGAGGCAATGAAAAGTGTCCAAAAAAAGGTTGCAGATAGGAGCAAATTATCACTCCATCTAATGTTACCTCAGCACCCAAAATCCAGCACTGAGCCTTAAAACTGTCTAAGTAGTGTGGGAACACTAACCCTAACCCTAGCTGGGGTTTAAACAGAGCAGTCCTACAATAAGTTTCAGAAGCCCTCCAGTCATCATATTTTAAAATGTTCCTAAAATGAAAAAATATGAGTCTAAAACAAAGAAAAACACTGAAAAAAGCTTGTGGACATTGATCGGATTAAAATGTATATCCTATTTAGGCAACTTATCAATCAGCTGAAAAATGCTGAAAATACAGTATTGAAAACGCATGCTTTTCAGGCCAATGTTGGGTCAGGGTTACAAGGACCATTAAATGTTGTCTCTGGATATAGATCTAGTTGCAAGTGAAATGACAAAATTAAAAGAGTTCATCCAGTAGAACAGGTCTTAGAGGTTTTGATCTGACCTAGTTTTGGAATACAATTACTGAATGCTGCAATATACAAAAAGGGGACCAACATTGTTCGAAAAAGAAGTTGCAGATAGCAAATTATCACTCGTCCTAAAGTTCCCTCAGGGCCGATAATCAAGCACTTAGCATAAAAAATGTTTAAGTTATGTGGGAATTCTACCCCTATCCCTAGATTGGGTTTCAAATGAGCAATTCTGCAACCTGTCCCTAAAGCCATCCAATCTTCAGATTTGAAAATGTTTCTGAAACCACAAAGTATAAGCCTAAAATGATCAAAACCATTAAAATATGCTCTCAGAAGCTTAACTTCTTCGATCATGTGTCATCTTAAGTTAATTTTTCAATCAGCTGAAACTGTTTAAATTGTATTTAAATGATAGTACTTTTCAGGATAGTGTAGGGTTAGGGTTGCAAGAACCAAGAAATGTTGAGTACAGTGACACTTCTTGTTGCACTTTTTCTGTTTACGCAGAAAAGCAAGCTTTTGTACAACTTTTGATCTGACTCATTTTTGGAATACTATTACTGAATGTTGCAAAATACTGTAGGACCAGAGTACTCAAATGTATTCCTTGTTTTAATGTTACTCAATTATTTAACTACCTAAATTCCCATTATGCCCTTAATTGTCCCACATTTGCTAATAATGTTAATTTTCTCATACCGTACACTTATTCTTAATTTTAAGTTAACCGTAATTTTAAGTTTTGTTTGAGATCATAAACATTTGATTCTGGTAAATGCTTGATAAATGAAAGAACATTTGTTTAAGTCTGGTTATGATTGACAAGGGTACCATGGTAAGACATTTTAACATCCATTGAGGGTACACAATCCTTCGCGGCAATGCATGTAAAATATAGTTTGCAATTCTAAATTTATTTAAAACAGAAAAAAATCACAGTATTATTAAAACTTGTTGTATAGAGTTCTTAATTATACTGATAAGTACAACCTGAGATAAGCTAACAGCTCTACCAAATTAAAGAGTGAATTCTGCATGACGGCTATGTGAACTGCTAATCTAACTTAGGGAGAATATTTTAAAAGGGAAAGGGGACCTTGAAGAATTAAAGAAAATAGATATCCATCCTCTTTCCTGCTTTGGGTTAAGTATTTTATCCCTTTTAGTTTTTTCTTGCTTTACCCTTTTTCTCAAGGTTTTTGTGCGTCATGGCAAAAGAAACATTTGCACCCAACATTTAAATCATTCTGAGGCGAGGTTGTGAAAAAAAAGAAAAATCAATAACAATTTCCACTATCAAAACAAATCATTTCTGTTTCTTTGGAACTTACACTGCATTCCTCTGAAAGTACAAGAAGTTTCTTCACTGGTCCGGCCTGCAGTGTAAATGTATGCAGAATCTCTCCTGTTAACAGATCCCACCAGATGACACGGGAGTCTTGACCTCCCGAGAGCAGCCAACTGGAACCGAACCTCTCAGACTTACAGTACGGGTAGAGGAGAGAAGTGACTGCGCCACTGTGGCCTTGAAGAGTCTTAAGAGGCTGATCATCTGAAATGTGAGGAGAAAAAGTAGAGTGAGGCATTATCAAGCCAGCTGCTACTGTACCTCCAAAACAGATCCAAAAATCAGTCAGATTACACTGAAAAATAAAATCTCCTAGAAAAGGAGAGGGGAATCCATATTAACCTCTCTTAAAGTGTTGCAGTGGAAAGGGAGAGAAATCGAGAGAGTTTCAGTGATTGACAAATGTATAACTCATAAACTCTTACGTCGTATCATTCACATTTTCTTCCGAAGACAGTTTCTTGTCCTCTACCATATGTCATGAGGGCAATGATGGCACATTTGTGCACATGGTTTGGGAGTACCCAGAAGTTACGTTTTTGGAAAAAGGTCTCTTTTGGTGTGTCCATTATTCTAAATAGGGATAGTCTGCGTTTATTTCTTTGGATGGATGAACATACTAATCTAGTTCTCTTACAGTGGCAGAAACATATCTGAGTGTCTAGCTGAAAGAAGTTTATGCTACATCGGGAGCATCCACATTCCCTCTCCTGGCCTCCTGGATATTAATAATAATAAGAATAATAATAATAAGAAGAAGAAGAAGAAGAATTGCTTACACCTATATATTTTTATGGAGTATTATATTTTTCATAATAATAACTCACATATATTATGGAGATTTTGACTGTATACCATACAGACCATATTGCCAGTAGGGGGCAGAGGAGGCCTTGGGTAAAAGTCTTGTTGCATGAGGATAAAATTTTTAAGATATTAAAGATATTAAGATATTAAGACTGCATGTTACACTGAATAATGTCTGCTAGAGACATTGTCATCACAAGTTAAAGTAAAACGTCTCATGGTGTAAATAAACTGTATTTTTATATTTCAGTAATATTTTTGATTATTATTGGATTGTATATTATATGTCACAATATATTAAACAGTACTGTATGTAAGTGTACACAACTTTTTGTATTTTATTGATAAATTATGATAAATTAGCTATAAAAAGAATAAGCATTACAAGATTTTACCTCACAATTACTGTATAGCCTGTGTTAATTTTAGACGTTACAGTACATTTCAGAGACTGTATAAACGTCAGGAAATGAGAACAGGCAACCAATTATCTGCACAGGAGCACTGCAGTGGCTCAAATCACTGCATGGTTTCAGAAACACATTTGAGACCTGCAGTGAAAAATGGCAATGCTTTATGATGACAAAGATAAAACGCTAAATATCGTACAAAGAGAAAAGAAGAAAAAATGATTTTGCAGCTTTTGAATTGTTGTTTATACTATATATTGTACTTCTAATAAGTGGCATAAGAACATTTTGGAGCAAGTATGGTAAGTAATGACAATGAATAGAGTGTGTTGTGAGAACACAGGGGCAGAGCTCCCAGCAAACATTTCTACTTTCCTTTCCCATTTTTTCAATGTACTTTTCAGCTCTTCCCCAGGGACTGGAAACCCCTAAATATAGTGCAAAACGAACATCCACTATGGCGTGTGTCCACATATGCTCTGCACTCGAGAATATATTTCACAAAAGTGATCAATGGATGCGAGACAAAAAAACTAACTTGTAGCTTGTAAAATCTCGTGTGTCGCAGCACAACTATTCAGGGATTAAAGGACATAACTCACCTTTTAATTGAGAGCTTCCCCCCAGCAGTTGTGCCTGGGCTGCCTGTAAAGCCAGCTTCACAATGATCTTGCCATTATCACAGCCACACACCAGCTGGTGGTAGCTGGGGATGCTAACGCTAGCGGTCACAGTTATCATCTCCAGGCCCTCAGAGTGCCCTCCAAGTGGCCCTGTGATCTCTCCCGGCACATTCTTCTCCAGGCAGCCCTCAAAACGACACTCTGCACTTTCAACGATTTCTAAAACAAAATGTTGAAGCAGAAAAATCCTCATTTCTGATTATGGAAAGCCATGCTGTAATTGCTGTTGCAAATGAAGAAATGTGCTTGTTACCGAAGATACAGAGAAAATGACGAGAAATTATATGACAGAGAGCTAAAAACGACAATTGTCAATTGTATAAGCATGATATTCTTTACAGGTAATGCAACATCCCATATTTGCAGCCTAACATCAGAACAAGAAAAAACATTTTAGCCATGAGGAGAATTTGAAAATAGTGGCCAGTGCAATACAACCATAAAACAATTTAAAATTAACAAGCAACTAACAAAATCATAGAAAACAATCCAGCAACAATATTTTTTACAGTGTTAAAATATAGGTTGTTATAAACCTCAATCCGGAACAGATTTTGACAAAACCTTATGGTTTAATTACTCATCTGATTTAGATCTGCAGTAGTTTTCCATTTGATAAAGAAAATCTGGTATTTTTACCTTCTGGAAGGCCATTAGAATTTAACCTGGGGACATCAGGGAGATGCCACAGTGTTACTTTTCCCTGCTCGTCACCACAGAAAAGAATTTGGTAGAAAGGTTCCTTTCTTTCGCTTAAAAATCCCATTACTTGTGCAGAAACCTAGAGAAAATACACAAAAGCCAAAGATTTAAATACCAAAATACCAGAAGTAAACTAAAAAAAACAAACAATTATTCATATAGAAAGAAAAATACCATTCCTAAACAAATTCTACTCATACACATAGACTTGATTTGATAATAAGTGTTCAAATTGAAGTATAATGTATTATAATTACAAAGAAGTGAAACATGCAGTTTTACCCTTACTATTCATTCAAATTTGAATGCCAGACATCATGAATTTGACATTCCAGACTTCTTTTCACTTGTGAGAGCATTACCTTTCTCTCTGATGTGTAGCACAGGATATGGGCAGAGATCTCCTTGCTGGTCAGATTTCTGTAGTATAAAGAATTTAGGTTTTAAGGGACCCCTGGTTACATAGAAAAGCCTCTACAATCCATATGAACAAATTCATTAAATTCTATCATTTAAATGATAGGAAATTATTTTGTCAATCTAAAAGATCTGAATCTTTGCTTGCTAGAGCGTTACAGGTTTATGGGAAAAGCAGTTACTTTTAATCCGCATGTTAATAATTGGTAGGTTGTAATTTCTCATGATGTTTTTCTCCTTTTTTTACAAAAAAAAAAGATCTAGTCCCAGCTGCCCAGTTCTGCATGGATAATCTTATTTCTTCATCTCCTGCTGTTCTATACAAAGGACTGGTGCTACCAAGCTTGAGACAAATCTTTGAGCACTAAAGTGTTTTTGTTCGGCCTTTTGATCATGTGTGACATGGTGCGATTTCCTTTAATAAACCTCCCAAAGTTCATCTTGTACCTGCACTTTTAAAAGGGCTGCCCACCTGTCAGACAGCTGGTAGATGTAACTGTCTCTGTCCTTGGACCAGACGATGAGTCTGTTCGCTGGCAGCAGCTCTCCACCAGCAAAGCACTGCCCAGCATTGCTCAATACCACACACAGCAAGGAGAAATCACTGTAATCATACACCTTCAAAAAGTAACAAAGCCAAATTCTTACTAACAGAAGCAATTAGAGAGAGATAATCATCTTTAGATACAAACACCGCTGTAGATGGAAAAAAAAAAGCATTTAACTTTAGTTGCACTTCAAGGAAAAACAATTACAAAAAGCATTTGTAAGGTTAATATGGCTGCAAACATGTAAAATGTGGAATTAAATACTTGAAGGATGAGGTGCAGATAGTGGAATAGTGTCCAGGCAGTACCAATGAAAAGATGTATATCTTGTTTAAAGTACACAATGCTACAACACACAACAGGAAAAAAAAGGCATTCCTGAAAAAATATTTTGATGGGGTTTATGCACTGCTGATGAAGAAGTTTTTCATCTCTGATGATCCTTCACTCTTTCTGTAATGCATCGGCTCATTCTCCAAAGGAGTTCTAATTAGTGCTTTTCTATTCTGTAATTGTTTCCTGTGGTGATTCCACTACATTATATTCTTTAAATTATTAATGTTTTTAAGTTGTGTCCAATAATTTACTTTTTTGTATGCACGGAAACATTAAAGTAATGTGCCATTCATTTAGAAAATAAAAGGTACTTTTTTCAAATTTCCACCGTGATAAGCCTGATATGCACAGTAGATGTATGCTCTCATCAATCACAGAGCAACAGACTAGAAAATACAAGTGTTAAGTGTTAGTTCAGTGTCTTAAATGTTAATTGCTGCAATATGAATGAGGTGAGGATTTCTCAGACCGAAATTTGCGCAGGAACATGATCATAGTATAGAACTAAGTGTACTCTACAATCACTTCAACACAACTAACAGAAAACAAATCTTCTTTAAAATCATCTGAGGGAATTTAAGACTGACTAAAATCTAAATTCTGACCAAAATTACATTTAAAACAAAAACAGAGTACAAAAGAAAAATTATACCGTGTATCAGGTTTACATTTTCAGCATAGAAGTATCATCAAATACTATTCAAACATTTAAAACAGATATTGAATTTCAGAATAACTTAATTATATAGTTAGATTGAAGGAGCGAGATACAGAGTATTAAATCTTCTTCAAAAAATCAATTCACCAATCACTCTGAAAAGTAAGGTGGTTGAATCAAAGCTGTTTTTAACAGTGTAAGGCACAGAAATAATATGAAAGGAAGTGAAGAGAATTCCTGCCCAAAAAATCCATGCAAATACTATGAGGGTTGAATCAGAAGTATGTAAGATAACAAATACGGTTGCAGTGTCCAGAAGTGGTGTAAGCTTCCACCTAGTGGCATTGAAGCAAAGCCAACGGTCAAGGCCAACATAGAAAACCTTTTACATGTTTCTCTCTGAAAGCAGAGTGGATTTCTCCACTGCCACAATGAAGCACCAAATTCAGTGAGATCCAGTAGGCAAACAGTTTACAGTTCTGCATACGAAAAATTCATCTCCTGATACAGAGCGAGGCAGAACGGTCAAACACGGGGCTTTTCTAAGCTTTTCAGAATACTAGAGGGTCGAACGCAGGAACGGAGACTGAAAATAAAATGAAAAATCTCACAGATTACACAGATTCAACCATGTCTGTCATAGAGGATGAAAAACGGTCTTGTCCGTATATGTGAATCAATTGGTTGCATACAGTGTTCTTCCTGCTATCACAGGCTTATCTGTGAGCAAGTCCAGAGCTCAGACTGCTGATGTTGCAGCACAAAGGATGAAGGTACTGTATGTAAATCTTCTGTGCATACACAGCAAAGTTCACCGAGTTGTTTTTGCAACATCCTCACCACATAGGTGATTATCAAAAATCATTAGTAAGGCAGGCCACAAGTATCTCCAGGAAGACAGACATGAGATTATAAAAAAATCAACAAGTTAAATTTTTGGCACATGAAAGAGCTGAGTTGATGATAGGTCGATGACATCTCTTTCAACGTCCATTTCTTTTTCCACGCCAGTCTGAAATAAATCTGCAACCCAACACTGCCCCCTGCTGGTGTAATTATATTTTATTCAAATATAATACAGTACTCTATATCGTTGCTAAAAAGCAGCTTATTCCAAGCATGGGCTGTAGCAACCCAGAAATTATCCCTAAACAACGGGCTCATGGCAGGACTACAGCCTGAGGGGGATCCACATACAGTACATACTATATGTACTATATTCATGTACTGCACATGTGCACAACTTAGAGCAACTTAGAACTCAACATAACCAGTGTGTTTTGGAAGGAGATAGGAATTTAAAGAACCATAGAAAACCCATGAGAACACCAGGGGCACGCTCCAAACAGAAGGCAGCCCAGCTGGGAATCGGACCTACATATTGAACACAGAAGTTGAGAAGCAGAAGCTCTCACCACCATGCTGCCTCATTAAAGTACAGTATATTGGTTTTTTTTTCTAGATAGCTTCTGAAAAAAACATAGCATAAGATTTTACACTTTTTACAGTCATTGGAAATGCAGGGTTGCTCTCTTTGGCAGTGGCATTTTGCAACTAGTAAAGCTCCTTTTGTCCATTTCATATTTGTCTAGTTACTATACTATCATGAAGATTATAGTGTATATACAGTATACTATATACAGTATATACACGTTGTATAGTGTATAGTGTATAGTGTATAGTGTATAGTGTATAGTGTATAGTGTATAGTGTATAGTGTATAGTGAGGATGTACAATTTTAGTACCTGCCAACGGTCTGAACAAACTACCAGCAGTCGGCTTTCTGTGTATTTGCAGAAGGAGACCCCCTGACACTGGAAACACTGAAGACTCCTGGACTCAGATTCATAGATTGCGCTCTTCTCCTAAAAAGAAATAAGTAATTCAGCAAAACTTAAACAATGTGTCATGCGCACTTGTACTTCTTCATTCTAGTGTCAGGCAGTACCAGTGTCAGACAGTTAATGATGGAAATTACTCACAGGCTGCCAGCGCAGGAGTCATGCACAGCAGCCAAATTAAACAGAGCACACCTTTATTTTGTAATACATGTACACCAACCTGTACACTGTTTCCAGATGAAGATAAGCTCCAAACCTTTAAAACCCCAGTCACCGATATTGCTAGCAGTGAATCTTCTATAAAAGAATCATTACAGGAAAAATAATGTATTACCAAATTAGTAGGAATGGAATCACTAAGTTTATAAACAAAAAGCCATTGA